TCTTTATTGCAGCGCTGGATGCACGGGGGATAATTCCATTGAACGTGCATATCCCATACCTTTTCCGTATAGTTTATATAGATCAAGATATACATATTTATTAGGTTACATAACTTATCCCTTTCATAGTAAAATTAGTTCATTTTCATACACTCCTCCCACCCGCACTTGCGCAGTGCCTCCTAGTGGTGGTCATCGGGGGTCCCAAGATGAAGGCTCATCCTCTTCATCACAGTGTCCACTGGTTGACCCCAGCTTCTGCACATGCGCAGTCCTCTTCTGGCTCTTGTCCCGTAGTTAGGTCGCTGTAACTATGTCGCTGTAGCTAGGTCGCCTTGACTGGCTCTAGGTGACCGCTAACATTTCAGGTGGGAAACATGGGACTTTTTGTTTCAGTTAATTTAGACAATAGATAAAAACCACAAACACACCTGCAACCATAGTAATGCTATTCCTATTAAAAATCCCCCTTTACCCTTATTGTTTAACATTGATAGTTACCTAGAGACCAAACTCTCTGTTGCTGGACCTAACGTCCAGATGGGCAGGGGCTATACAAAGGACATAACTAGCAGCACGGTTTATGTTTATGGTTAACAGATTTCATCCCCTTGGTTACAGGATTACAATAGAAGCTGAGAAAAATCTAGTCAAGAAAGAGAAGACAACACACACAGCATTGAAAGTGAGGGTAAGGAGCTTGGTAATGGGAAATGTGCAGAACAAGCATCAACCTTGAGTGTCAGCTTGCAGGTTGCTTGCATCCCCATCACAGTGATGTATGTTCTCTCATATAATGCAATCTATTGACTTCATCCGCTTCTGAGTTTCTAGCACATGGCTTGCTCTCCCCACTGCGAGTGTATTAATCAGATCTGTGGTACAAAGAGGGGATGGACTGGGAAGAGGACAGGCTGGAAGAGATGAGGTAACAGCTGGCCTGACAGGACACAGCAAAGAGAGAAGCCAGCGCCTAGCCCACCAATTTCTTGTAACATCAAAGTGCATGCTTCACTCCTCTGCTCCGTAATACACAAAGTAACAACATATCTGGTAACCTCTCTGTGTTACTGTATATCGTTCCCCTATTCTCTCTCTCATACATGTACACAAGAAATCACCTGTGTCAACTCTTGGAATAGGCCTCAGGATCTGGGTTTGGAGCCTCTTTCACTTCAGGTGTCTATGAGGAGGAATCTTCTCTTGGTGTTGCTGTTCCTTTCTTGCCTCTGCCACTCGGTTTGTGTGCCAGGGAAATTAGGCTATGGCTTCACACAGGACTGCAGCTTTCTCCTGTTGCTTAGAAACAGCGCTGTTGAGCTGAGCGAAATTAAAAGAAAAAACCCAGACAACACAGATAAGAGGTTAACCCTGCACCTTCAGGCTGGGTTCAGTTTCAAGCTAAATGATCCTTTTACATTTCTAGGCATTGAGTTTCACTGCTGAGTGGCTAGTTGGAAACACAGAAGATGTGCTAACAAGGGAGGCAGAGACTGTTCGCTGGGTTTTCAGATGGATTTAATTGCTTGTAAAAGAAGCTATCAGCTTCCACTGTTCCAGCATTCCACTGTATAGAACGGTGAAAAACTACACCTGATACCTCTCAAGACCCCATCTGGGGTTCCGTTCGCAGTGTTTATGGCGTATAGCAAGGATCCTGCTACTTGTTCTTCCATCAATGTAATGTTTTTACTTACGGTATTAGGAGAAATTCTAACAGCCAAGAAATCCCAACATGACTTACTAAATCCTGCTGTTGTCCTTCCAATAGATGCAGGAGACATCTTGCACAGGGTTGCTGCTGCTAGCCAGTGCATCATGATGACTAACAAGTCAGTGAGAGGCTATGGGATTTTGTAGATTAGGAAGGTTTGCAGGCTGCAGTTCCGAATGGAATGAGCCATTCCTCTCCTTGGGAATGTACTTCTCATGTTATTAACTGATTACCTAGCAACCAATAGGAGTGGGTTTATGAGATGATCATAATGTTGCCTCTCTTTGTGATGGCCTAAGAAAACACAAGAGCAAATTTATTATCATAAGACATAGATGTTTTCCAGGACAAAACCTACTTGATGTTTACAGAATTTGTGCTGTGCTTTCTCTTCCTTATTTGATTTGTGATTTCTCTTCCTTATTTGATTTGTGATTTCTCTTCCTTATTTCATTTCACTGCTCTCTTTCCAAAGCCCAAGCTTTAGGCATGTGCCTAGGCAGGTGCAAGACATAAGGTGGCGGGCATGGTTCTACCAGCTACCGTGTCTTTGCCATAGCAGCGGAAAGCCAGGTGGGCAGCCACTGAGGGAAGGCTGGAGTTTTGGAATGGCCCCTCCTAGCAGCATTAGACACTTATGGCCATTCTCATTAATTCCATGGCAAAAGGAGCACCAGGCTTAGCGCTTCCCCACCTTTCATTCCAGCTGTGGAGCTGTAATCAAGTTGGATTTGATCTCTGAGGGCATCCACCTGGCAGGCATCACAGCAATCCCATGTCTCTAGTAGAGCTGCTGCTTGTTTGCTCTGCTTTGAGAAACGCAGATCTACTGCCTGCCTTTCCTCTGGGGCTTATCTGCTGTTATGGCCAAGCGAGTGTGAAAAGTGACCTTCACAAAGCGAACTGACCCCAAGTCCTTCTAGCCCAACCCCTCTCCTATCACATGGCAAGGGTGATACCACGGCGAAGAGTGACTTTCCTCAAAGGAGGCTGGTCCCTAGCCCTGGAGTGAACTGACCCCTGCTATTTTCCCCAAAGCAAGGAATGCTTCTGGAGGCACGGAGTGGGGGTGCCGCTGCGTTTGTGCCTTTCCTGGGGAAAAAGAAAATAGCAGGCACTAGTGGATGCCTGGGGAGGAGATGGAAGAGATGCACCAGTAGGCATCAAACTTCCTCAGCGTATTTCCCCATTCTCCACTGATTTGCAGCTCAGGCCCTTCTTGAGCAAAAAGTGTTGTCTTGGCAGTTAATAGCCTTTGAGCGCTTTTCACTTCCACAAACTTGTCCGATCACTTTCTGAAACCTGAGTAATTGCCATCAGCAATATCAACTAGCAAAGATTTCCACTGTTTAAATAGGGCTGTGTGGGAAAGGGTCTCTGGTTTTAAGCTGTCCACTGTTAATTTAATTTGCTGACCAGTGTGCTTAATGAACTTAGTAAAGTAACTTAGTAAACTTAGTAAGAGCACGTTTAGGCTCCTTGAACTGTGATATTTGTCGAGCACAGAAGACACATGAAAGAAGATACTTAAGTCTTTGCCCCACACCATGGCATATTTAATGCCAGTCACAGGTTCCCCAGAGCAAGAAATAAAGCAACAGGCAGCTCTGTGTGTCTGCAGCATTGTTATCCACTGCAGGTCTGATCTTCAGGGCTGGTACAGCAGGTGTTTTGTCAATACACTTAATTGTTGGAAGGAATGAATTTATTTAATAGTTCAGACTATTTAATGTTCATCAGCCAATGTATTAATAAATACCATATAAAATAGTAATAAGAGTAGGATTTAGAACTCTTGCAAAGGGCTACTGTTCACATGCTTGTGGCAGCAGGTAGAAACATTTTTACTAGCCTTGTTTGTACTGCAAATTCCCTCTGCACCTCCACTGTAAATTGCTGTTCTTCAAACTACTTCACTGCTTTTTCCTTACATGTCATTTCCTTAAAATATTTAACATCTTCACATCTGCACATGCAATGTCCTTCTTGAGAACAAATTCGAAGGTGTCTGGAAAGTAATGCATTAACTTGGACTGAAATGTAAATTTCATTAAAAAAAATCCCTCCTTTTAATAGACTGTAAAATGTTACCTTTTTGCAGGTGAAACCTGTAAGTCAAGTGCTGAATTCTGCAGATGAACAAACCCTAACTTTTGGGTGAGATCTGTCCTTCAGAACAGCCCTCAGGCTTTTCTGAGGCATTTGAGGAGTGTTTCAGCTCTGGGTGCCTGGGACGCGGCGGCAGCAACAGTGTCTCAGGAACGCGTCCTCCAAGTTAGGTGCTGCTGACCAGAATGGCGGCGGGGCCGCGGCGGCTGCGAAGGTGGCATTTCAGGGTCCCCTTGCTGGCCCAAAGGTCAGGGCTCATTTACCCGGTGTGCGAAACGCCAATACACACACAGAGCAGAGGTATTTTACTGCATATTTGCACAGATATGGGTGTCTGCCTCAAAACAGCACACCCAGCTTCCAAATTAAGTTATTTACACACAAAGCATTAACATATTCAACTTCCTAATACATATACATTGTTGTCTATTAAATGATTGGTTAAGGTCTCTTTGCCCAGCGTGTAAATTATTATGCATGCTTAGTTGTTCTTCATCGTTTGCGTCGGGGGTATAATTGGGGTGGGAGGCGCGCGAGTCGGTGGTCGCCATCTTCCCCCCGCCGGGGTTACCTTTCCCCTAGGCACCCGTTTCTTTTGGCAACCCTTAAGCGTCTCCTCACGGTTTACCGGCCGGGCTGGTCACACAGCAATTACAGCTCTGCTCTCGGCAGACCCCGCCTGCTTATCAGGCAAAGGCCCGTTGCGGCGCGTTGTTTCGGTAAGATTAACTCTTGTCCGGCCTCAAAGCAG